CTATCAACATTATAATTCTACACTACCCCTCACTTCAACCAGTTATATATATGAACATTATAATTCTACACTAACCCTCACTTCAGCCGATTATATCTATCAACATTATAATTCTACACTGCCCCTCACTTCAACCGGTTATATATATCAACATTAGAATTCTACACTACCCCTCACTTCAACCAGTTATATCTATCAATATTATAATTCTACACTACCCCTAACTTCAACCGATTATATCTATAAACATTATAATTCTACGCTGCCTCTCAATTCAACTGGTTATATATATCAACATTAGAATTCTACACTACCCCTAACTTCAACCGGTTATATATATCAACATTAGAACTCTACACTACCCCTCACTTCAAACGGTTATATCTATCAATATTATAATTCTACACCACCCCTCACTTCAACCGGTTATATGTATGAACATTAGAATTCTACACTACCCCTCACTTCAACCGATTATATCTATCAACATTATAATTCTACTCTGCTCCTCACTTCAACCGGTTATATATGTCAACATTAGAACTCTACACTACCCCTAATTTCAACCGGTTATATCTATCAACATTATAATTCTACACTACCCCTCACTTCAACCGATTATATCTATCAACATTATAATTCTACACTGCTCCGCACTTCAACCGGTTATGTACATCAACATTAGAATTCTACGCTACCCCTCACTTCAACCAGTTATATATATGAACATTATAATTCTACACTACCCCTCCCTTCAACCGGTTATATATATATCAACATTATAATTCTACACTACCCCTCACTTCAACCAGTTATATATATGAACATTATAATTCTACACTACCCCTCACTTCAACCGATTATATATATGAACATTATAATTCTACACTTCCCCTCACTTTAACCGATTATATCTATCAACATTATAATTCTACACTACTCTTCACTTCAACCGATTATATATATCAACATTAGAATCTTACACTACCCCTCACTTCAACCGATTATATCTATAAACATTATAATTCTACACTACCCCTCACTTCAACCGATTATATCTATCAACATTATAATTCTACACTACCCCTCACTTCAACCGATTATATACATCAACATTATAATTCTACACTACCCCTCACCGTAACCGATTATATACATCAACATTGGAATTTTACACTACCCCTCACTTATGTCAACTGAGCTACTATCTCTATCTTATTTCTTACTTTTCTATAAATTATATATATTGATGGTAGATAATTTGTAAGTCGTCAATTTAAGTCAGTTTAATTAACGAATGTAATTCTGGAACAGTAAAACATAAAATTGGATAGGTACAAATCATTAGAAACCAAGTGAACTATCAAAGAATGATGGATTTCGTTTATTTAAATGTTTCACCAAATGTGGTACCGTAATACTTTACCGAATATTCCGAGTTTATTTTTAAAAAATCATACCCATGTTATTTAATTTATGTACAAAATTATGACGAAATTAATTTTGTTAAAGACAGGAAACTTTCTCATATCGACAATAACGTGATTTCCTCTCTTAAATACACGGTAAATTGTACTTTGAACTCAGTTAAACTAGAATTGTCGGCTTATCTTTTGACATATTTTTTCTCTACTTCTAAAAGTTTGATAATTAACGTATTTTCTGTTATGGTGAAGGATATTTCGTGCTTCCTAGTTCAACAGATGTAGGAGACAAACATACATGAAATATGGATAGATGTTAATAACCTTGAACACGTCAAATGAAATATTTAAAAGCGCACGAGCAAAACACGCTTTAGCAGTATTATTCTATCACGTGAAAGCGTGTGCCTATTCTCGTGATCTGTTCGTGATAGGAGACACGTGATCACGTGAACGAGATACACGTGATAAAGGTCAAATGGAACCGAGCGACCTGCTATTAAAGGTGAAGATAATTTTACAAAGTTGATAAAAGTAGGTCGGGTGTTAGTGGTTAATTACATAAAAAAATAATTAAATAATGGTCTCATAATAGCCACAATAATGTTGTGCTGGAATTAAAAAAAAATAATCTAGATTTTTTTTACTTATATCTGAAAATTGGAAATTTAATTCAATGTATCCATAATAACAGCACTCGACTCGCTACCTGTGAGACGCGGGCTCGAATGCTGTCATCGAACATACTCGTCCTTTCAGCCGTGAGTGCGTTATAATGTGACGGCCACTCCAACTTTTTGTAGGTAAAAAAATAGTCCAAGTGTTGGCGGTGGGTGATGATGTTGACTGATTGCTTTCCCTCTAGTCCAGTAACTTTCCGAGAAATTATACAAAAAAAAACATATTTATTTGATGGAAGAGACGCCACGACCGACATCGATAAAATATAATTATTTAGGCCCACACTGGGTTCGAGGCTAAAATCCGCGGTGGATCGAGATTTCCCGATTTTTGTTTCAGAGAGAGAGATATATATTTATTACTATAGTTTAGATGGCGTATTTGTTGTCAGATGTTTTAAAAAGTACGTGAACACATTTTCTCTATGAATGATATAATACTAACTATACCGATTCAATATCTTCTACTTCTGGTTTCTGTAAAATGTTGAGGTACCTGTTTAGATCAAAACGTTCTTTTGTTGCTGTTAAGCACACCGTTACGTGAAGGGCAAACTGTGCTGTGTATCGTTATAAGCCATTAGTCTTAACGTTAAGCCACTGGGAGGCACGTCGAAACAAAACAATCAAACCGGTGTTAATTACAGCTAAGTAAACATACTGTTCTTACTCATTAAGATTACAATGCATTGTTTCATCGGAACACTCACTATTAGCGTTATTGTTTGGTGTACATTAAATATAGAATTCAAATGAATTGGTTTCAATACCAACAACAGTAAGGGAATGTCTCATAGTGGAAGTTAAAATAATTACTTGAAGTTAACGCCATGGTTAAGGACATACGTGAAGTTAATACCATGATTAAGAACATACATGAAGTTAATACCATGATTAAGGACGTACATGAAGTTAATGCCATGGTTAAGGACATTCATGAAGTTAATACCATGGTTAAGAACATACATAAAGTTAATACCATGGTTAAGGGCATACGTGAAGTTAATACCATGGTTAAGAACATACATAAAGTTAAAACCATGGTTAAGAACATACGTGAAGTTAATACCATGGTTAAGAACATACATAAAGTTAAAACCATGGTTAAGAACATACATAAAATTGATACCATGGTTAAGAACATGCATAAAGTTAATACCATGGTTAAGAACATACTTAAAGTTTATACCATGGTTAATAACATATTTATATTGATAGTACAGACAAACAGACAAGAATGGACATGACAGTAGAGTGACAGTCACTTGTGATTATGTAGTTAGAACTGTTTTAGTGGTACTGATAGTCCCTTGTGATTATGTAGTTAGGACTGTTTTAGTGGTACTGATAGTCCCTTGTGATTATGTAGTTATGACTGTTTTAGTGGTACTGATAGTCCCTTGTGATTATGTAGTTGGGACTGTTTTAGTGGTACTGATAGTCCTTTGTGATTATGTAGTTAGGACTGTTTTAGTGGTACTGATAGTCCCTTGTGATTATGTAGTTAGGACTGTTTTAGTGGTATTGATAGTCCCTTGTGATTATGTAGTTAGGGCTGTTTTAGTGGTACTGATAGTCCCTTGTGATTATGTAGTTGGGACTGTTTTAGTGGTACTGATAGTCCCTTGTGATTATGTAGTTAGGACTGTTTTAGTGGTACTGATAGTCCCTTGTGATTATGTAGTTAGGACTGTTTTAGTGGTACTGATAGTCCATTGTGATTATGTAGTTAGAAGATTGGAAGAGAAGGCGAGTGAGCTGATTCTTTAAAATCGGTATCCGCGAGACTAAACGACACCTTATCAGGGTGATGGGGGAGTAAGTTGTTAAGGATTTCTGAAAACAGCATCTATATGATGATGGGGGTGATAAACAAACATTATATGGTGAAGATGGCTTAAGGAAGTATTCGAGAATTTTGTAAACACTATCTTCAAGAAGATGCCATTTGTTATATGGCTAGCGGGTAAGGATATAATCCCTACCACTTAATCCGTAATAAAAGCGTGTGTTAGTTGAAATAGTATTATTCAGTGATACGTTTCATAACATAGACGCTTTCTTATGTCCTCTATAAAAACTTCGAGGAAGAGTTTGTTTGTTGTAAAGCACAAGGCTACATAATGGGCTACATGTGCTGTGCTTACCACGGGGATTGAAACCCAATTTTTAGCGTTACAAGCCCTCAGACTAACAGCTAAGCCGTCACGGAGGAGGAGCCTCGAAGAGTAGATAATTGTATGCCATTAACCAAGTAAGATTATAAATGTATGTGAAAGTAAAGTTGAAGTAATTAGATTATCCACCCAGTGGCTCAGCAGTAACACTACGTGCTTACAACGTTAAAAAGTGGGTTTAAATATCAGTGATTGGCAGAGAACAGATATAATATTTCTATTGTCCTTTGTTCTTCATGAATGGCGTAATAAAGGAAGATAATGTAAACTTGAGGAGGCAGACAAGTCTCAGTTATAGGTGGGATATTAGTCTGAAATATTTTCTTTTTGTCTGGTTGAACTCAGTAACGATTGTGGTGATGTTAAACGCAAATTCTTATCAAATATGATTGCTTACCATACGCTGTATTGTTCTCCATGTGGGTAGTGGCGTTTTCCGAGCCATTTCCTGGCTGGATCTGACCAGTCTTCAACGACTTAGGATTGAGGGCCTCCGCCAACAAAACTTCAAGATTGAAGCCGGGACTGTAGATCTCCTTGTGTAACATTAGTGCTTTACAGCTAGGATATCCAAACACCTGACACAAAATAGCTTTGTAGCAAGATAGGTAGCTGGCAATTTTTGGGGAGTTTTGACCAGTTTCGGGTTATTTTTGAACTGTAAAATACTGGTCATGCAGTGATTTGAGCAACAAAATCGGTTCTAATAAACCTGTAATAAAAACAATTCAAATAATTCAATTCATATTTTCTGAGGAGTATATTGTGGCGATAATTTTTATATAACAGGAATATATTACAATATCTTGAATAAATTAGCTTTGTATTTTCTCATGCAAATGTCTTCTGTTGACAGATGTTTTTTTATAGTTCTTCATTTTTTCTCTTCGTTAATATTTACATATTTCATGCCAATATTTATGTATTTTTATTACATAATTATCTAATTCTGTCATGTAACGTAATTGTTCTCTCATGATGATAAGTTTTTATAATATAAAAATGTTTTGTATTTGTCTAACATAAATATCTTCTGACGATGTATCATTTTATAATAGGTAAATCTATTAAATGTTTCTGAAACAAATTTTTGTAACATAAGAGCCCCCTCATTTATGACGTCGTAGGATAACTCCTCTCCACGTGAACCTGTGAAGTATGTTGTTTTTAATGTTCCCCAAATTTCTCACTGACTTGCTCTAGAATGATTTGTCGAAGTGCTTAATGTGAAGTCAAAAATAAAGTAGACCGTGCGACACAAGCTTTAGATTTCTATGATTAGGGTTGAACTAGTGTGGCTGGGAATGCGAAACTATATAATCTGTGATATAAAAGATATAATGATTTTCTACATTGAATATAGTATTAAATCTTAATGATAAGACAAAGACGTTAAGCTGATGCTTCTGGAAAACTTAAGAAAGCTCCAGCTAGAGATACTACGTTTAGTTTCACTGCTAATGTATAAACATATTGAGGAAGTAGCGGACAGCCCTTCCGCGGTGGGAGAAGGTGTTGATATCTTTAAGGCTGGCACACGTTAGGTATATTTTCTGGAGGTAATACCTCTTAATCCACACAGAGTTTATATGTTCAGGTCTAGCATGCACTTCATCCTCCAGCCAGGAAACTTTTGCTTCCTCTGTCTGTGTTTAATGCTTTTAATATCTGAAATTGTAACATTTAGGTAATTTTCTAACGTAGGAAATAACTATTTAAAGCTTTAATTTAAAATATGTTTTTTAAAGGAAAAATACTGTTTTTTAACATGGCATGCAGTACTCTCAAATATGCATCGTTTAGAGAGTTTTTTTTTTTTACACGAAAATCTACCTCTTTCCTTGAAGTTACAGAAATATGGGTTTTTAATACACTAGTATTCACTTAACATGAGTATGTGAAACTTAACTATGTTTCAGCATATGTTTCAAATTATCTCTTCTAACATAGAAACATTTTAAATGTTTTTATTTGATATTTGGGTTTTATTATTTCAGGAATAAATATATTAAGGTTTAAAAAAATACTCACTCGTCATCGTGAAGATGAACATGTGGCTCCATCTCGTTGTTTGATTTCGCGGTAACTCTTATGTTCCATTTATCATTCTAAAGGAGAAAGATCTTGAGCAAAATTTGTTTCTTTTTGTTGCCAACACGGAAAGTAAGTACTTTGTTTTAAGTCCACTAATAAGATAGGTTTCATTAGCTGTTTCTCCAGCCTGATCCTAAAAGAGGGAGAAAAAAACCGATCGGTGCGTTTGCTATACATGTAAACTGTGTGAAAGAAAAATCTTTCAATGGTGATGATAGTGGTCGAATTCTTTCATAATGTAGAAAAGACGACCTTAAATACGGTAGAGCAATTCGGCAACACAAAATATAGGAATAACAAGCTAACTTCAAAACGGCGTGGTTTTAAATACCGCTTGGTGGCTTTAGGCCTAAGTTCTGTGCTCTAGATAAAACAGTCCGCTCACGTGAACGCCTAGGATTATGGTTACATCAGCTAAGTCAAACGTGGCTGATAAGCTTTATTTAAACCAATGAAGGTAGTCTGTTCTCTCTGATTGGTTTAAACTGTGTTCCAGTTCTTCGTATACACCCTGTAGTTTAGCGGGCAAGTGTGTTGACGTCTTTTTTTTTTTTACTGAACTTATAAAACGGATACGTGTCTACAAACTTTTCACATAACGATAACAAAATGTTTAAGATAATGTTCCCTAAGTATATTTTAAGCGAGGAATAAACATGACTGTTAAGGTTTTGTATGTCTGCAGGTTGTTATTAGTGGGGATAAGTTTAATACTGAACAAAATAAATAAATTCAAACTGACGATCAGTACAACCCTTAGAGTTTCTACTAGATTACTTAATAATTCAGTAGTGTGTAGGAGTTTAGTTCACGAAAAGAATTTAGCCTTGAACAAGAACACGTAGCTTTCTAAGCTTCTGATATCTATCGCATGAACATAAAATTAGACGTTGCCAAGGTCGAAACGGCGGAAACGGAGAAAAGGCCATAAACTTAGATTTGCTCGACATGAATGATGTTATTTTAACTCTCCACTTACGAAAGAGTTGAAAATCCACAGTTATGTTCTCTATATCACCGATTTGTTTCACAGAGGCTACAAGTTAGAACGTGTTGCTATGTACAGTTATGTTCCATATATCACCGATTGTTTCACATAGGCTACAAGTTAGAACATGTTGCTATGTACAGTTATGTTCCATATATCACCGATTGTTTCACATAGGCCACAAGCTAGAACATGTTGCTATGTGCAGTTATGTTCCATATATCACCGATTGTTTCACAGAGGCTACAAGTTAGATGATGTTGCTATGTACAGTTATGTTCCATATATCACCGATTGTTTCACAGAGGCTACACGTTAGATGATGTTGCTATGTACAGTTATGTTACACATATCACCGAATGTTTCACAGAGGCTAAAGGCTACAACATGTTGTTTTGTACATTGTGTAACGATGATTAAGAATTGTAGTCAAAATGAATCACAGATAATTTACAGGAATTTCGGGTGTATTATGGGTACAGTAACATACTGGTTTATATATACATATAATTTATGGACAAAAAAGGATCTTTCGGCCCATCTAAACCGTCGGATTCACTAAACTTTAAAATAAGGATAACACTAAAAGCCAGCCCTTATCGTTCATATATTTATCAAGCCTTCCCTTAAATCCCCTTAAATTTACTGCATCCATCACATCCGAAGGCAACCCTTTCCAGAGGCCAATCACCATGCTAGAAAAATGGAACTGTCTGAGCTAAAGATAATTTATATCCTGCTAATATTTTTATTTGGGTTTCCTAGTCCTACATTAAGTCTTAACACCGTTTTGTTACTTATCTGCTTGTTTGTTAATTTCCGATATAAATTATTTCCGAGGAACTTCAGCGATACAAGACCCTTCTTGATTAAAAGTAGTTTATTCTTTCTCGATACACACTTTGTGATACACAGAATTTCCACAGTCAGGACGTTTCTAAACTTAACTACTTTTATAACACACGCTATAAATGACAGTGATTCACACACTTTACTTACAATGTCTACTATTCGCTTGACTCAATTATCTATCTCTTCAATCTATCTGTATATCTCTTCCACCGCGCTGGTTTTTCTCGCCAGGCTCATATACTATAAAAAAAGAGGCGCCTTGAACAAACTCGGGCCTCCCCGATAATTCATGATTCTTCCAGAAACTCTAGGGTCACGCGACTTCTGCTGTCGTAACTATTTTATTATTTAACTTGCTCAATAACTCAGCACAGGACATTGTAAGTTTTAGTTCGGTATTTTCAGTTGTACGAGACATGTATAAATCCAGAAAACAGAGTAGCATAAGAATGTTTATCTTTAGTATCCCCTAAAGCTTCTATAAAAGTATTAGTTATTAAAAGCAGCAGAGGAAAGTAAGTTAAACCATGCAGATTATTGTTGCTGAAATAATTTCATGTCTTATTATTTTTTAATTTATATATTTTACATGAAATATCTAAAGACGTTTTGACGGACTAACAGAGAAATAGGGAAGTATGATTATTTTTTTATATGTTTTCCTTAGTTCCTTCAAATTGTTCGTGACACAACGTTAATCTTCCTTGAATCTCAAAAGTTATAACAAATGAGAAGCTGTTTCTCATAGTTGTTATCAGTTGGATTGAATAAAAAATTTTATAACAAAATTAAGTAAATTTAATTTGAAAAAATTAAAGGCTTTCGATGAACAGGATAGCAGTGGAAGTTCAAGGATTCAATGTAGGTGAAACACAACAGTATATATAACGCTAATGTTGCCCCTGGTAACAACCCAGTTAACTTCTTTACCAAGTATATCCATTAAAAAATGTTGAAAAGTTATCGATAAGAAAGTGAAGGGTTGTATAACCGTTGTAGTTTTATTTGCGAGCTCTTGGTGTCACATCTTGGAAAAATATGGTAGACAAAATGGAGGTTGCTTGTTTCTTTGAAATACGCGCAAAACTACACGAGGGCTATCTGCGCTAGCCGTCCCTAATTTAGCAGTGTAAGACTAGAGAGAAGGCAGCTAGTCATCACCACCAACAGCCAACTCTTGGACTACTCATTTACCAACGAACAGTGGGATTGTTCATCGCATTATAACGTTCCCACGGCTGAAAAGGTGAGCATGTTAAGTGGGACGGGGGATTCGAACCCGCGACCCGCAGATTGCGAGCGGAGCTCGCTAATCACCTGGCCGTGGATGTGGCCAGTCGATCAAAGAAACGGCCACACTATTAATAAAACAGAACATTTTCACTAAGTAAATTTATTTCAGGATTCTAATGACAGTTAAGGTCAATTATAAACACAACGCAAAAGTACAAAAAATACTTTTTCAAAATTATAAAAGCGTGAAATTTCAATAAGAGATTTGACATTCTTTTTCTCTGACCATCTAAAAAACACACTACTGGAGATTCTACGAATTGGCCAAACATTTCTGCGAAATGGCCACACAGGGCCATTGGCCAATGGGCTATCCACACAAATTGTAAGAGAAAAAATTTAAAACCGTCCGACAGCGGTAAATTTACGAATTTACAACGCTAAAACCAGGAAGGCTCGATTTCCCGTGGTGTATAAAGCAGATAGCCCAGTATGGCTTTACTCTAAAGCAGACGAACAAACAAAAATAAACATCGTGTTTGGTATGAAACTCTATATAAAGTATAACCAACTTAAGATATCAAATATGTCACTCCTACAAAACACACCACATTTCAGAAGTAAATGTTAGGTCTCTGTGATTAAAAAAATATACACTTCAACATTTCAAACACACGGGTTTATTTGGACCGTTAACAAACCGGTTTATAGTAAATTTCCAAATATTACAATATCGGTAATTAATCAAAACTACGTTTGAAATGTATATATACTACAGGGCTGGATAGCACAGTATTAGGGAATTCTTATTATTCAATTTGCATGATATCTTAGCAACATTACAGACTGTTAGTTGTGTTTAAAACACAACTACGTCTTACAGTGTTCATCATCTATGTATTTGTATATCAAACTATAAATCTTTACACAATAACTTATGTATATGTTCAACATATTAGTACGAAGTTGTTCGTTTTATTAAGATAATGTTTCAATATGTACACCGAAATCATTTCGTAACTATACAATATGAATATGTATAACGAAAAATTTTCTAAATTATGGGTTTCCTCTCGCCTGGTGCATGGAGAACCTTAACTATTATGTGATTTTTCTTGCCTGGTGTGTGGATAACCTTCAATAACATTTTATACATTATGAGTTTATTCTCGCCTCGTGTTAATATAACCTTCAATAGTATGTTGTACATTACGGGTTTTTCTAGCCTTGTGTGTGGATAACCTTCAATAGTATGATCTACATTATGGGTTTCTTATCGCCTGGTGTGTTGACAACATTCACTAGTTTGTTCTACATTATGAGGGTCTTCTCGCGTGATGTGTTGATAACCTTCACCGCTATGTTGTACATAATGGGTTTATTCCCGCCTGGTGTTTAGATAACCTTCACTGGTATGTTCTAAATTATGGTTTTTTCTCGCCTGGTTTATGACCAACCTTAACTATTATGTGATTTTTCTCGCCTGGTATGTGGATAACCTTCAATAATATGTTATACATTATGAGTTTATTCTCGACTCGTGTGGAGATAACCTTCAATAGTATGTTGTACATTACGTGTTTTTCTAGCCTTGTGTGTGGATAACCTTCAATAGTATGTTTTACAATATGGGTTTCTTCTCGACTAGTGAATGGATAACCTTTAATAGTATGATCTACAATATAGGTTTCTTCTCGACTAGTTAATGGATAACCTTTAATAGTATGATCTACATTATGGGTTTCTTCTCGCCTGGTGTGTTGATAACGTTCAATAGTTTGTTGTACATTATGGATTTATTCTCGCCTGGTGTGTCGATAACTTTCAATAGTATGTTGTACATTATGGGTTTCTTCTCGTCTGGTGTGTGGATAACCTTCAATAGTATGATCTACATTATGGGTTTCTTATCGCCTGGTGTGTTGACAACATTCACTAGTTTGTTCTACATTATGAGGGTCTTCTCGCGTGATGTGTTGATAACCTTCACCGCTATGTTGTACATAATGGGTTTATTCCCGCCTGGTGTTTAGATAACCTTCACTAGTATGTTGTACATTATGGGTTTCTTCTCGCCTGGTGTGTGGATAACCTTCAATAGTATGTTCTGAATTATGTTTTTTTTCTAGCCTGGTTTATGGCTAACCTTAACGAGCATGTGTTTCTTCTCGCCTTTTGTGTGTGGATAACCTTCAATAGTATTTTATACATTATAGATTTATTGTCACCTGGTGTGTAGATAACCTTCACTAGTATGTTCTAAAGTATGGGTTTCTTCATGCCTGGTTTGTTGATAACCTTCAATAGTATGTTATGTATTTTG